CAAACTAATGAATAGAGGCGAAAATGTCAAAACTTGAAAGTCAAGAATTGTGCCTTTTGTATGGCACTAGGGTAATTTCCTATTCCGTGGCACTAACAAAAACCTATATTATATGTGTATCATCATCATATCAGCTCCCTGCATTCCATGTATATCCTACCTACCTGAAATCAAACACTGGATGTTATGTTACATTTCATAGTCATTTCTTCTTTGACAGATGCAAAGCAATTTCCATGTAACGTTCGCTGGGTATAATTAACTTGTTTCACGATTAATAACCTCGTATTCAACTGTCAGCCATTGTGGTATTCAGTGGCATATTACTCACGTCACCTGTAGTAAATTCTTTTCTTTATTCTTTATATTCATATGTTATACTGCATTCGTATAATATAAGATTTCTAACTACTACTGTCGTCCTTTGAAGATCGCTACTTTGTGATCTGTCTATTTATGTATCATCTCTCTTTATTTCTTCCATATGTGTCCCCGGAAACTATTATGGATTAGAATTTTTAGTTGCTTCTAATATGACAAGAATAGTCAATGCGTTTTTATTTTCTAAGTATAATAAAGTACATAAGCGCCTATAAATGCATAATAATTAAACTGTCAAACACCAAGCGGTCACCGGTGACCGCAACCTATTGTTCTATAATTGTGTCTACAAAACCGGTCCTCGACGAGTTAATTTGAACACGCGTCTTTACTCGCGATATTGAAGGCCATACTCATACATGTGATCTGATCAGAATGCTATTCACCGATTTCAAATTATATCTCTGTTACACATTATTTTGTACACTGATTTTGAAAATCTTACTTGTCTGTGTGATTTGACATGGGAATGAAATCCGAACTTTGCTATACCTATCTTAGGCAGTATTTACACCGTTTACAAAAGCTACAACGGAAATCAAGCGAAGACTTATCTTCATAATGTTTGATTTGTCGGTTGTGTCATCTTAGGTAGCAGATTAATTAAGTAACAAAATGGCAATGATATCTAATAAGCATCCAACGTTTATCACCTATAGGAAGACTGGTAAACAGTGCTTATTAGTATAATAGCTGTGCCCGCGACTTCATTTGCGTAAAAAAGTGACTTTGAATAGTTCTTCACAGATCTTCCCCCGTAGGTAATAACGTGATAGTATGTAGGCTATATGTTGACCCAACCTGTTAGTAATTTTCATGCAAAAATCGAACTAAATCTATGTAGGTAGTACTTATTTAGTTTAGCCCGGTCATACATACAGACAAGCAGACAAAAATTCTAAAAACTGTATTTATTGGCTTTGATATCGGTTGTGGATCACGTCACAAGTACATACTCTTTTTAAAAAAAATCCTACGATTTCATTATTTGTATAATATTCTATTATATGGACACAGTGTGTCTGCCAGTTTCATGTCTAAATAAAATCCTTAATTAGTTCAGTATATTGAACTTCGTACTTTAAAGAATAGCTATTAACTATGAAGTACTGACCCTCAGTCGTAATTATTAATGATTTCTACTCTTGTTGAGGACATAACAATTAAATGGTTTCTTAAAACAAATCAGAATAACGGTTGCATGCTTAGCGCCAATACCGGCAATCGTGACTGACCTGATAACAATTCCGGTGCATCTTTAGATTTCATTTTCATGTATTAGTTTCGTTTAAGAAAGCGTTAAATCTTTTCGCTTTTTTCTAGTAATAGATGTAGTAGATATTAGATGTGGTTTTGAAGTCACCGGGAACTTTCGATGACCAGAGGCCTTAGTACGAATTTATTTTACGTTTAAAGTAATCGTAACGAATACGCGTTCGGCGCTCTGATTGGCCGGCGCCAATGAACCAACCAATCAGAGCACCGAACGCGTACTCGTTACGAATACTTTAAACGTAAATGTATCTCATACTAAGGCCTCTGTGTAGTTTTTATTGAGGCTAACAAGAAGGAACTGTTGTCATCAACAGGTATAAAGCCTTATTGATTATGAAACAAAATGTTTTTATAATATCTAACTATCGTGAAACATGCTAAATTAACTAAAAATCGCGGGTTACTCACGTGAATATGCCACGCGCCAACGCTGGCCAGTAGGCTGCGCGACATCGCCGTGAACGCGCACGCTGCTCATGAGGAAGAACCCCTCTGGTTCGAAACTAGTAGAGGTTTTCTCGGTATATTCAAGTCATTAACCCGTGATTTTTAGATAATGAAACAAAATACTTCTAATACTTAACTATCCGGTTATATTTTTGTTCCGATTCTATCCAGCTAGGTACACACAGCCACACATCAATGTATACAAAACCAGTTTATCCTGGTGTCACGTTGCATCATCGTTCCGCACATTTAACGTTCAGTTTATACTGGTTATGTAAAGCTCGATGTGTAGCCGTGTGTACAGGAAAAACAGATGAATACGAAATTCTTCAACGTGTCGATTGGACTGTGAGCCACAGTCCAATCGACTTTGTTCTAAGTAAAACGTTTAACACAATAATGTTATTATCTACTAACTTATCATTTCTTCCTTTTCAGACCCCAAATGGACTGCCGATTGTCCTCCATCATTCGGCTGGGATATGGCTCAGACACTCGAGGATATGGTTCGGTGTCCCACCGTGGAGAGACAAATAGATCGCTTCCAGGAACATCTCAGTGACTTCGCCAGAATCAGCAGCAATGGATACGTATCCTTTGTTTAATATTTCCAGAAGTAAATTTTACATAAGGTTGACTAAAAATATCGATTTCGGGTTTACTTACGTAAATATGCTGAAAAAGTTCTACTAGTTTCAAATCACAGGGGGACTCTTCCTCACACGTGCGCGGTCGTGACGAATTTTTAGTTCATTTAGCAATATACGTGGGTCTTAAAATTAGTGCTTGATCTTGTAAACTGTATTTACTGGTCATTGGCAACATTTTTATATTATATACTGCAGGTACTATTACACTTATATTATGTAAAAATATGAAGTTAGATACCTACATTATGAAATGTATCCTTAGGTACCTCCCTACTAAATGTATCGCCAGTTATGGACATCATTTATTATATATCATGTTATCAGTTATACGAAAGTCTATGCTGTTTGTATTTTTAAGGAACAATAATGGATTAATAACATTATGGTAATATGCAAAAATAACAACTTTTGAGGATAAAATTCATAACGTTCTAATTTTCAAACTATTTCAAAATTTGTAGGCCTCAATAGTTTTCTTAATACGATTGCCAGCGTGTTGACGTTCTGAGCAACGTTTGCGTAGTTTTAAACTACTTATTAGAGGCGGTAGCCGATTATCCTTTCCTAAAACCTGGACTGGTGTCACTACTGAAGAACTTGAACCACCCCATTTTTTTAGTAAAGGCATCCGACGTGGTCACCTATTTCGACATGCTTAGAAACTTCATTGGGTATATAGGTGAGTACTAAGATTTTTCAGTTACCCTTAGTTTTGCCACGGTTGTAACGTAAGAACAATTAACAGAGACTCGGAGAACCTAACGGGTAACCGGGGCTCCGACTCGACGTGCAGGAGAAGGAACGGGGTGGTTTTTAGTCAGTAAGAGTCTGACACTCCCTCCCGCCTCACCCAGGCGGGAGCAGTAATTCGATGATTTTCGCCCCTTAAAAAAAAGCAGTATCGCTCTCTGATAAACCTGAACCTGTTAAACTGCGACCCTGCTGCCAGGCGAAGAGAACATGGCAAACTCGTTCTCCCTATGCCGAGGCAGCCAGTCGAGCACGGCATTGTCATTAGCTAATTGTGTATCTACATAACAAGTGTGGGAGAGCCATGCTAAGTGTGGGAGAGCCATGCTTCGGCACGAATGGGCCGGCTCGACCAGAGTGATACCACGGCCTCACAGAAAACCGACGTGAAGCAACGCTTGCGTTGTGTTTCGTCGTGTGAGTGAGTTTACCGGAGGCCCAATTACCCTCCCCTTCCCCAATCTCCCCAATTCCTGAATCCCCAACGATCCCTTAACTCCTAATCCCCAAAAAGGTATAGTATGGTATAGGTCCCCGGTAACGCACTTGTAAGGCCTCTGGTGTTCCAGGTGCCCATGGGCGACGCCGATTGCTTACCATCAGGTGATACGTCTGCTCGTTTACCGGCTTATGCCATAAAAAAACATATCATCACGCCTTTTATCCCCGAAAGCATAGGCGGAGGTGCACATTACGGCATTTAATGCCACTGTACCATGTAACACCCTCTGTTCACTATTTTATGATATGAGTTCTTGAGTCTCGTTGGCCGAGAGGTCACAAGTGCGACTGGGGTTCGATTCCTGGGTCGGACAAAGTCTTACTGGGTTTTAAAAAAATCTCTGTAGTAGCACGGAATCTGGGATTGTGCTCCGTATATGGCAATAGGCTCACCCTCTATTACATGGGACGGGACTCATAACATAAAATAGTGAAAAGTGGGTGTTACATGGTACTAATTGTATCTATTCATTTAATTATCTGTGTAAAGTAATATTCCGCTTTGCCTCGGGCATTCAATATGATGGCACAGTTTATCTACAATGAATTATGTCTTCAATTGCATCTGCCCTTGGGCTATCAGCACGGTGGTCTATGCTGCTCTTATTTCTAAGAGTTTTATTATAAACCATCGTCATCACAAACCGAAACAACGACAGAAATTATATTGCATGAAGATTTTAACTACAAAACTAAGATAGTTTTGGAATTATTAAAATAATTATCATGAAAATGAATAATTTAAGTTTTCCACATGAACAGTACGAGTCTCTATCAACTTAACGTTGTCCCTATCTGTGTTTTAGCAAGCAAGCCTGCTATTTTACTCTTGAATCGAATCTCCTGTAAAACTTTCAACAATTAACTAAGCTGAACGTGCAAGCATTTTTCACAAGTCACCCTCATAAAAATAATCACGGTGTGAAATTGTTAAGTCCACTGTTAGGAATTATAATTTTCAAGGTATTCTGTGGGCCAATCCCGGCGGCACTGCAATGCCGGGCCGACCCGTGACGGGAGTGGAGCAAGCCCCTACATCCCGTCAACTTCAAAAATTCAGTTTAATTTTCTGGTCCCTCAGTGAGGGAACTTTCAGATATTAAGCTGAAAAGAACAGTTACTACACTTTGATCTTAGCCAAGAGGCCGAGAAGCGATAACGTGGCACTGGCCGCCGTCGGGGGTAATTCAATCGCGGAGAATCTTAACACCGCGATTCAAAAAATGACGTCACGGCACAGTGCCATCTCTCGGGTGGCTGTAGTACAGGTATTAATAAAGGGGTGGACATTGTACTCTACCAATTTTAGCCCTTCACTTTACGTAGGGTGACCTAAGCCTGAACGCTCCCTGTTATATGTACAACGCCATCTGTCCGCATATTAGACCGTTAGCTATAACATTAGTGTTCTTAAATTGACAGAATTTTGTTTCAAAATCCACCTTTACTTCAATGTTGTTTTTAAATCTGTTAGATGGCGTGATATATTACCAAACTGACAGTGCTCCAGAAATGAGACGCATATATTTCATGATTTTGGTATTTTTAATATTCCCTCACAATCAGCATTCTTTTTGTGATTAATTACCATATATCATATACATATACAACAACACACACGCCTCAAGTAAAAAGTAGCTTCACTTTTTCTGAATGAAACAAACTGCAAAATATCATGAGAATTAATTGAAATCGAACTGCTATTACGTAGTTTCGTGTTTAGTGTATTGAGGCCAAGACAGTATCGCGACGCCATTTAATGGTATCTAAAAGAGGACAATGTCGTTGTCACTCGAGGGATTTTACTCCTTTTGAGGTGTTATGATTTATGGAGCATGCAAGCGTGCTTCTCATGGCAATGCCTTTCGATTGTACTGTCTCGGAATTCATTTAGTGGGTCAGGTGTCAAATGGACTGTTGATATGCTTATGATTATATAGTTTGTGTATTTATGAATGATGACGAATGTTTGTGGAACTAACAACACTAAAACTGCGGCAACACTCAATGAAAGTACCTGAATGTCATCAGCTGTAATCGAGTTTGTTTTGCGAATCATTTTTTGTTAAAAAGGTACTAGATTGGAATTTAAGTAAATAAAACTTGGAAGGAGTTTTATAAACAAGCAAAAGAACAAGGCGGAGTGGAGCTCGACTGATTGTATTTCGAGTATAAAGTGGATTTCAATAGAACAAGAAGCCGGACAGCAACAACGAACAAATTTTATCAAAATTACGTTTATATTTTCGATAAGTGCCTATGAAGGGATAGGAATCATATTACTGTTTATATGTTATTTGCCAGAAGTGATATACCTACAAAATAAACGATTTTATGTCTAAAAAGTATTGTTTACATTGCACATTTATTTATAGGTTACTTTTTATTTGTCGGTACTTACGACCTCTGGCCCTCATTGATGTTCATTAATAAATAGACAAACTGTACGTTGGCACATTTAATTGATTGGCATCATCGTGAATTATACGAAAATATATCGATTTTATTTAATATCTTTTCATCCTGCTTATAAATAGTGCTAGTTTAAATCTTTGGCTTATTGGCTTAGATAAATAAATATTACCCTTCTGATTTGTGTTCATAAATAAATCAGATGGGTTGCATCATTACTATAGAAGCATTATCACAGTAGATAGACAATTAAAAAGTAATATTACTACTGAGTACAATATACTGCATTACTTATTGAACAAAAACCACAAATAGCTTCACCATATCATTAATGCAAGAGATTGTCATCAGTTTTCTCTCTCGATGACAATAAACATTGAGAACAAAGTGCTATTTAGAAACATAAAGAAATACTCAATAGAGGAAATGAACGGTAAATGATTGACTTTTCTTTGATGGATTCTATGAACCTGGTCGTATAATGGAATATTATGAATGGATTGTTTATTTTCATTAACAGCAGTCTTTGCCATGTTTATGTTGTAATACTTGGCTCCGCAGGAAATAAAACGAATACTCCTATACATGTGGATTCTATATTTATAGTTATCAAAATGATTACGGTTAACACAAACGAATTCTCATTTGTTTCTGTTTTCTGGATTAAAGGTGCTCTGCTTGACAAGCAATCCAATAAGTCTATTTACTCTTTAGTCTTTTCTTTAGGCATCAGATAAAATCTCTAGCCGTTACTATAGACAACAGTAGGTAACATAAAACCATGATCAATTCCATGGTGATAGGCCCTTTCTCTAAGGTATGAAGGCAGTAAAGGTTTCGCCTCATTTGCCTGTAATACGATACCAAAGCCACGACCACACAAAAGTCCAGTATTTTAAGCCCGGATACTGAAAGGCTGCTCAATTTTAAATTGTACTTAATATCGTGATGTCTCTATCATTTTACAAAGAATTTGTAGAGACAGAATGATACTTAAGCGCAACTTAATATTGGAGTAGCGTTTCAATATTTCAGTGTTAGCTTTATAAACACTTGGTATTTCATTAAGGACAATTTTATTTGAGTATCGTAAAATTCGTAAGAGTCATATGCACCTCCTAACATAACATCATGCCTTTTATCCCTGAAAGGGTAGGCAAAGGTGTACATTACGGTACTTAATGTCACTGGAAGTACAATGAAACACCCACTTTTCACTATTTATGTTATGAGTCCCATGTAATAGAGTGTGAGCCTATTGCCATATATCGGGCACAATTCCAGACCCCGTGCAACCACTGAACTTCTCCACTGATTTTTTGAACAAAACCCAGTAATGCTTTACCCGATCCGGGAATCGAACCCGAGACCCCTTGCCCGGCAGTCGCACATGCGACCACTCGGCCAACGAGGCAGTCAATGCTCCCCCTACTCTGTATAGAACTTGTCAATCAACTTATTGAAGGGCGCTCTCTTGATTTGGTTTAATTTTTTGTACTACTTTGTTACTCATGTTGTTATTAGTTATTGATTGTTCTAGTTTGTCTCCTGTTTCAATTCATTTCTTGTTATTTGTTTGTTTGTTTGTTTTACTCTTTTTAATGATCCGCAACCCATTGTGTGAACCACTATTATAAACTTGCGATTCCATTCGTTATTGTAGGAGTACAAATAGCTCGTATACAAATTAGCTACCACCGATATTATTTTAAGAAACTCATGTCAAATAGTATTTAGATATGTGTAATTTCCCCATTACCAACATTGGCACAGCACGAGTTTTTCTACGAAAATACTTCTCCAATTGAAACAAAACAAAAGTTCTGATTAGAATCTTTATGTAGCGACTTCTAAATCTTTGTTCCAGGTTTCCTCTTAATAGAGCTGGAAGACAACACACTCTTCGATATAGTAGCTGCTTCTCTGATCTGGCACCTGTCGGCTCCGGATAAGATGAGAGGACCGGGGACAGTTCACCTGCGACACTCCTTGACTGCAGCAGCTCCCGTGCTCCGTCAGACCACCGTCAGAATGCTCGCCATCGCCAGATCACATAAATTCCCCATATTTTTGGAGATCGCACTTCTTCTAGCTTACGATACGGCGGAGAATTGTACGTTTATCTAAAACTTTAGTTGACTTATAGATTACGCAAAGACACAAATTTTGGGCTTCCTGTATCTGTGAGAATTTTTGAAATTTCTTTCTTAACTTCCGTGCAAAATTATACGGGTGTTAATAAGACGCAACAAACAAATAAATCACGATGTCGTGGTATTTTGTGGCATAATTATCCTAAGTTAAATTAAACGTTAAACCTATTTATACATTAATAGATAGTGGATTTAACTACTTTTCAAGTGAAGTATCTTTCGGAGCAGACACGGTGCAATCGGGGTCGAAACCTAAACTTGAACCATGATACTGGACAACGGGCTACTATAAGTAGATATTATTGTCGTCTCATCGTCATAAACTATGATTTTCTTCATAGCCTAGAGAACATTTTATAGCCAATTATATTGTCCGTTGGCGGTCCACCGCCTGACAATACCTGCTTAGGCAATGATAAATATTCAAGCCGTCCTGTTTTTAACCGACTTCAAAAAAAGGAGGAGGTTCTCAATTCGACCGTATATATGCTTTTTTTGATCACCTCCTTAGAGGTATTGTTAACTTTCTATTAACTTGTAAAATGTATGTATCCGTTTCGTCTTTGGTCTTAGGAAGTTCGATCATATTTCTCTATAACATCCTGTTCAACCCAGCCTATCCTACTTATCTCCGAGACCGTTTCTCCTTGGTGCGTCCTCCTGAAGTCCTTACTCTTTCTCATCTTAAATCCTATCATAAAATTGTGCCCCATAATACCAACTTCTACTCCTACTCCTTCTCCGTTCATGCAGTGAGACTATGGAACTCACTCCCGCCGAACATTCGGGATGCCAAGTCAATCTCTATCTTTAAGAGACAAGTGAGAGAACATTATCTTTCCTCCTGAAATATAGATCTTTTTGTTTATATATATATATGTAGGTATATTTATATAAGGGTTATTTTTTTTATTTCTTTTTGTATAATAGCATTGTATTAGTTTGTTTTATTGTTTATTATTGTTATTTCTATCGGTTTCTTCGTTATTATTATTATTATTTTTTATTATTGTTTGTGTAACACACTATGTGTCTCAGTGTTATTATATCTTTTCCTGCCACAGGCCCACAGGAAGAGATTCCAGTTGGAATATGTGGGGCCTATGTACTATGTTTTTATATATGTGTTGTCCTCTGTGTTGAATGTGTACATAAATAAATAAATAAATAACTGCCATGTCTGCCACCTGAAAGTGGATTGAAGGCTGGATAGGGCTCCTGTATCTGATGTAAATTATGAATGTTTTAATAATGCATTTAATACTTTTGAGATAATTCCTACTACAAACGAATGCTGTGTTTTTTTGTGTTTAGTACTTTCCTCATTATTATCTTGTCTCATTCGAAATTGAAACTCAAATTTTATCTTCTCAGAGCATGAATTTAACCATATAAATTACCGTAAAACGGGGTGAATAGAATTCGAGGGGTGAATAGATACAGGAATGGTGTGAATAGAGGTAAATGTTAGAATATTTTCCCAACGTTTATTCACCCCTCTTCTGTATCTATTCACCCCGTTTTACTGTACTCATTTTCTTGTTTTTCAGAGGATTAACATGAAAAACTTACCTGTACATGTTATTTATTTTCAGGCATAGAAATGATGAAAGAGAATATTTTAGAAAACTTATTCTACCGGTTTAATCCTTATTTTCCCGAGAGACAACTGGAGAGTTACGACATTAGCCCTTTGGATTGTCATGATCCTACTGTGAAATTAGGTAAGAGTCAAGTACTCGTATAAAGAAGGGCTTAGAAGAATACAATTTTGCCACCGTCGTGGTATAAAAAAGAATAGTTTGTAAACTTACTAATATTATGAATTACCTCGTTGGCCGAGTGGTTGCAAGTGCGACTGCCGGGCAAGGGGTCTCGGGTTCGATTCCCGGGTCAATTAAAGGGTTTTAAAAAAAAATCTCAGTAACAGCACGGAGTCTAAAATTGTGCCCGGTATATGGCAATAAGCTCACCACCTTTTACATGGGACTCATAACATGAATAGTGAAAAGTGCGTGTTACATTGTGTAGTAGCATTAAGTGCCGTAATGTGCACCTCTGCTTACCCCTTATAAATACGAATGAGTTTGTGTCTACCTATGCTTGTTACTGCATTACGTCAAAGCAGCTGAAGGGATCGTTATTGTTATGTTATGTTATGATATTGTATGTTATGATAAATGGCCATGTCATGTTTGAAATTTATCCCACGAAATCGCGGTTGAAGCCACTGGCAAAAGCTTGTGTTATTATTATTATACGTAAGGATATCTTCAGTTCTTCATATTTATGAAATAAAGAAAACTTGATATGATGTTATACAAATCTTATATAAATATACAGGGTGTCCCTGTCCTCGACGTCCAAATGGCACCTGGTGATTGGCAAGGCTCCTGGTGCCATTCGGACGTCGACTTCAGGAACACGCTGTATAGATAGGTGGTACATCAAATGTTTTGAACCGTCATTTAACCTATTGTAAACAGTTTCCGTTTTCTGTACTATTCTGAAAATAGTAAATATAAATAGATGATGGAATATACCATAACTGCTTTTCAAACGGATATAACTAGGAATAAATTTCATTAAGACTTCCTTTAACGATTTCAGAATGAAATTACTGTTCTTAAATTAAACTAAAAGGTTACGAGATTCATGAGACGAATCCTTTCAGAACTAATTAAAAAAAAAACAATAGTTATTGTTGAGGAAGTTTTCTTCCAATCAATGATCGGTATTAACTCGAGAACAACCAAAAGGTTCTATAATACCTGGTCTAAAATGGCACGCTAAAACCGTTCTATTAAGCACATTTAAAAATGTTCAAAAATTTAACGACTATCGATTTGCAGACATGCCTGATATGTGCAGTAATGTTTAGCAACAATACGACATACATCACTAATTTCGGAATACTGAAACGCTACTCAATTTTAAGTCGTGCTTAAGTATAGTTCTATCTCTACAAATTCTTTGTAAAATGACAGAGACGGCACGATATTTGAGCACGACTTAAAATTGAGTAACGTTTCAGTATTCATAAGTGACAAGTGCTTGTAATTATCATGTGAAACAGTACCTTTAACTTTAAAAGTTACCCTGGACTTTCTTACAGTTTCATTAGTCTTAATTTACGACTGCCTTGTCTGTTAGTCTTTCATTCGACCCCCCAGAATAAGTATTGAAGGTTTTCTTTCAATAATAGTTGTCATTGTAAATCCTGAGTCATAAAGTTTGGTAGCGTTTAATGATAGGTCGGGAGGTTCATAAGGATCTTGGTTCCATCTACTTACCGCCTCATATTGATATGGAAGGAACTGAGAATACATCAGTATTTGATCACATATCTGTTTGTGTAGTAGAATTATAACAAATCTTTTATTTACTTGATTTTTCTAGTTCAGTACTGACCCTCGTGATGTAAATCGGTCAGGGGATATTATTAGTGTTGTTGACTGGAACAAACAAGTTTTTGTTACGGTATTTAGTTGGACTATAGTATAATTGTTGTAATATTACGTGCCCACAGGCGAGAGTAGCGTGAACATGACCACGACTCTCACAATTATGCTTGTCCTTGTAAAGACTACTAGAGAGTATTTGGACAAAAATCCCAAGTTCAAATCGCAACTGCCATGCCCGGATTGTTATGCACAAAGGTTTGTTGTGTTTGAGAAATATTTATTTACATTAGAATTTGGATTGTTTACGGTCTTGTTACAATTACTATAGGCAGTCTCAATAATTTTGTCAGAAAATTTAGGTACTAAAAATAGTTTGACAACATAAGACTACGTACTTAGATGTAGCTAATTCTGTCACTAATGCCTAGACAAATCTGCTTGCTAAGCTATTCAGACTAACTACAAAGACCAATGAAGTTTAGGCTACAGGTGACTTAGAATTTCGACATATTTTGTGAAAAATGAAACCATGTGAAGAAGTCTGCAGTGAATCAATTTACGTCATTGTATGTTATCATTATTGCCCTTGAGGCACGAAGACGTAACCAACTACTACTCTATTCGTAATGTCAGCTAATAACAGGTTACCTCGTTGATCGAGTAATCAGTTGCGATTGTAACCATTGCAAGAGGTGTTACGTTTCATTACGGAGGACTAAGTAGTATTGGAATAGCTATGAAATTTTAAAAACTATCAGTGATAGCATAGCTTGTAATAGTGCCTGGTTAATGGCGTTTTTATGGAGAACATCATCCAAAGACTTCTTCTCCCGCCTTGGGTGAGGCGAGAGTGTCTCAAAGTCTTACTGACAAAATTTATCCCGTTCCTACCAGCTACTATGAGCCGGAGCTTCAATAACCTGTTAGATAGCCCGGAGCTCCGGAACCCAGTTAATGGCCTAATTCACCCATTACGACTTGCGACTGACAACTTGAAAAAAATTGGTTAACTATGTCCCTCTAACTATAATTAAGAGCATTCTGTTGGTATCTCCATGTACTTTGGTCAAATACCACAGCTACATATGGGATTCCATTTTTTATTGAATGTCCACCAGTATCTGAGTCAATAGGCCACGCAGTCCTCCCATTGACTCGAGAAAGGCGGCTAAAAGGTTAATGTTATAAGGACTGGCAGGGCACCGATACTTCCTCACCACCGATAATTATAGTATGCCGCATTTAATTATTATGATACCCTAGTACTCGTAAATGCATTGCAATCGTACTAAATTGTGTGCAATTTTATATCTTATAAGTATTTTATTTGTGGAGCCAAATAATTAATTAAATTAATTACTACTTTTGTTTTTTTTTTTTGTAAAACTCATTTGTTCATTCTTTTACATATTATAAGATTGAATAAATAGGCACATAGTTTCAACATACCACGGGTACAGTCTTTGTTATTTAACTTAAAGTTCCTCATCAGTGTTTTTGATCTCTTATACACGGCTTAACCAATTCTTATTAATTCTTCTACATATTATTAGATTGAACAAATAGGAACATAGCTTCATCATGCAATCTTTGTTATTTGACTTTCAAAAGTTCCTCTTTGCTATTCTTATTGCTTTGATTTTGTCTTTTATTTTCGACAGATGTTTCATTTGGGCCTATCGATACGAGTGTCGGGCTAGGGAACATCGACATGAAAGAATCACTCTAACCGTGATAGCAGCAGTTCTAAACAAAATCTTCGGCGAACGTCTACTTCTCTTCTCTTCTATATTTATGGGAGGTCAGTGACATGTGCTAGAATTTCTACATATAAGACTCAAGACGTCCATTGCTGGAAATAGGCTCTAGAGGTATAATGATTATCATAATTATGACAAATACCTGTTCAATGATCTGATCTTTCTCAATGTAAGCGTTTATGTTTTTACAAATCCGTTACATGTTAATAAAAAATTTATAGTCTATTTCGTTACCTCTGTAAGTAAATCAGTAAAGTACGAATCCACAGATACAAATATTGTGAATGAGTGGTTGATAACACGGAGCGTAAGATCGCCTATTATTTATCACTGAATACAAAAAAGGGAAACTTATCAATTTTTTTTCGTAAACAACACAATATAGTAAATAACAATAGGTCAGTACAATATTGTATCAATGGTGTTATTGAATATCAAAACGGTTCCATTAGTGGTCCACAGCCGCCATAATTTCAACACTTTCACTTCCGTCGGATGTAATTGCATTGCTTTAAGAATGGACGTCGTTCAACCGTGTCCCGTCGAAACTGACGAATTTGATTCATTCAGTGTTCTGGATTGTGTTCAATGACATAATAAAACGATCTTAAATATAATCATAATCATCTATATTCGCATCATCATCACTTGTATTGAGCCCCGAAGGAACGTAATGTAACGCAATTTTTGCAACATGACACCTATAGAATGTGAGCGTATTGTACCAACAAACCCAACCAATTACCTTCGTGTCGGTAAATAATCGACACAGAACAAATTACACTTCTGTCGTCTTAAACGCTGCAGATGCTTATGTCCACTCTTCTTCCAATTCGAAGCTTCCAATCTTCTTAGTCCAGTAGCTGTATAATACCAGACGAATCAAAGGTCTCCTCAATTTTGAAAAATTCTTCTCAAATTAATTCCAAATTAAGTTTTGTTATTTCAACAACTGTAGCACTATACTAATAATTAGTCACCTAATAAAGCCACAGCAGTTGTTATTAACATATGTTTACTGAAGGAAACTTTCATTGAAGGAAAAATGACAGGTGCAGTGTGATGTAGGTCCTCGTGTTAAGGCAAGAAAGCCAAAAAAACCCATTGTTTTATTCATGTACAGTTTGACAGACAAAGTATAAAACAGAACTGTAGTAACACAATATGTGGTGTAAGAGGATAATTGCCTCAAAAAAGGTCATGCGCACCTTGTTCAAATATAAGATTAAGATGTGTGTAAGATTGCAGAAAGTTGCAATCTCTAGTCACTGCCTACCCTTATGACAGAGGCATAAGTTTGAGTGTCTTTAGAGGTAATTTTATGTTGGTGTATATTATGGTCATGGTGTTAGATTTAGATGCCGTATATCGCGGGAAACAGATGTTTGAGGCATATACAAAACCGAAAAGTATGGCAGAAAAGTGAGGAGGGCTATACCCAGAACCTGGACTTATGTGATGATGATGATAATATACTCATCAAAAATAAGGCTGCGGCTGCTAAACATAAGGAACTGTAAAACAGTTTTAATTCAAACTGAAAACTTAAATAGAAATAATAATTTTTGTAGTTTATTGATCTATGGTTCATTGATATCCGCAGACATTATATCCCTGTCAGTTCTCACCGAGTTACCTCCAAGGACAGACTGGACCGCGACCGTCAACTTCACAACAGGACAACAAGACGTCCAGTTCAAGAAGTTACTCATTTTCTTTGTTGTTGATTTGTTGAAAACGTTCCCTTATAATAAGTTCGTAAGTATGTGAAGTCATTTTTTAAAATCTCTTGTACAGTAAATAACCTTCGCCTTGCACTATTTAAATGTTTTCCCCAATTAGCATATACCTTGATAGCATAACTGAAATAATCACACTAATGTATGATGTTATAGAACACTCAGTCATAATTATAATGAATTCTTAATAAGCAAAAATAAATAATGACGAGAGCTACCTATAAATTCATGACCTTAGTCAATATATTTATGCGTCAGTTGAATTAGAAGAGTAGTTACGTTATATCTGACTGGCCACCTATGAATATAGAAGTTAACAAAAACGAAATAATAAAAAACATTTTCTATGTGCAGTCTGCTTCAACGCCAATAGAAATAATAAAATTAATTATGGAACATCACACCCAGTTCATCTACATTTCAGATGATGCAATCACGTTACTGGCTCCTCGGAATGGTGTACCTTCTGGACCCCGGTCTCTGTCACCTCCGAGCGCGTTGGTCACCGCCTCTCTTCGCAGAATTACGCAAGACTGCGCTCCAGGCTCTGGTCTGTGCGATACCCTTGTGTGACCCTAGTTGGGTGAGGGACTATGGTCTGATTAGAAGGTGTGTTAGATATTGCTAGCACATTGTACTTGTTTTTAGATTCTTATAAGCATACCACGCGATTAGCCAGTTTTAAATACCTTCTAAATCGGATAGGACTATTCATGTGGCGTGGATCTCTGCAGGTGTTCTCTGTATTTTGTAAAATGTCTAAATATTTTTTTTCTTTCTCGTTTCAGAATAATGTGGTACATTGAATGGTACTCAGAAAATCCGTATGAGATTTCTGTGCTGTACTGGTGTGTGAGGTTGCTGCAGGTCGCAACCTATCACACTCGGAAACCAGAACGAGACCAAGCCATTCAGGACCTTTTCAATACACACGGGATTGTTATAATTATTCGTAAGATGTTGCTACTGCTTCTGTGTTAAACGAAAAAAATATGTACGGAGGTATATCGATGTACAATGCATTGAAAATTTCCATTTGCGACGTCCATTTATAACCCTATTTCTGCTTCTTGTGATTCACATGTAATTAGGAAATGACAGTCCCAAATGACTGTAACTGTAAGAAATATTAAACCCTTGTTTTTTCTTCATTCTGCTACGCTGCAGTAAAATCTGCTAAAAAATAAGATACAGGACATTAGAAATTTCGTAAGATATTACTTACCTAGTCTACCTACGTTTAATCAATTATTTTCTTCTACGTAGATCTCTGCCAAACTCTCATGGAACAGAAGCTACCGCCAGTGGAGAGAAGTCAGGCAGTCCTCGCCCTGTCGCTGCGCCTGTTGACCAGCTCTGTACATATGAAGAGGAGTGTGACCTGCTGTGTCTACCCTAACATTAAGTGGCCTAATTCTGTCAACTCACTCGCGAGGAAGATGGTCGATGTAGTCTTGTATTCACTTGATAAGCACTTTATTGTTAGTGATAGGTGAGTCGAAAGTACTACAGAAGTAAGTCCCAACTTATCTACCTACTTAAATATTCATTGGATTAGTTCAGTAGCGAACGTCTTCCGACTGATGGTGATGGCATTCTGCTACCCGCGACGCGGTGACTGTCGGTCGGCTACTCACGCTGCATGCTTGGAACTATACTCGGAATTTTAATTCGATTCCAGATTTGACAATTTCAGTGTTGCAACGTTGTGACAAGTACTAAATAGTGACGTGCGAAATTATTCGATATGGAAGTGAAATATTTCTGGATCGATTCTTCTCGTTTATAAGTTCACTCCCGTAAACTAAGTATATCAGGAAATTAAATATTTATGAACCGATATTTTAGTTTTGACGATTAATTAACGATCTGAGACTTTTCTTTTATAATTGTGTGTGAAATAAATAAAAAAATGTAATCATGAAGGAACATGACAAATAAAACAGATAGATGTATTATGGTAATAAGTTATTTTATAAATTGTCGCCGTCATCGCTATCGCTATCCTGTCACTTTCTGTAACATTTGTTATAAAACACACACACTGATTGTTTCTCGATTTTTGTGTTCATCACTACACTATTATATGTGGTATCATTATTTCACAAAATGACAGTAGCTATTGTCAAATCTGGAATCTAATTAAAATTCTGACTATAGTCGAGTTCCTCGTCGAACAGTTACAGTAAACCGAAAACATAATAATTAATTCTAATATGTCTCACGAAATTTTCATATAAAAGTAATGAGTATGTGCAATTGAGCAACTTCTTTCAATTGATAATGCAGGTCAACTTGTCACGTTTCTATAAAGCTGGCCTATTGCCCTATTGTACTTACTTACTTAAGGTCCTTAATATTATTGGTACTTAATATAATTAAGTTGTCATGCTCACTCAAAGATCTCATTTGCGGTGGCAAATAGGATCACTAGATTCCCTGCAATATGGTTGAGTTGGGCGGTGCTGGTGCACATACGTGTCATGTTCGTGAACAGGTACCGTCAACTGGGACTGGTCAGCTCCAGACTGCATTATTCATTGTCTTTAAAGTTATTTTCTTTTTCGATCTCTTTAACTGGATTTTGGTGTTACATTGTTCTCGCACAATCGAACTAATAAAACTGTGTAACTAGAGAATTCTATTGTGAACCTGATTGGAAAAGAGTAACCTACGGAGTTTCTTCCTCGTTCTTCTCCATAGGAATTTACACCTTGGAATGAGCAAATAGCTTCACTTTTAAATTTCTATTGCTGACGTTCAAAAGTGCCTTCCTGGTCCAATTGATGATTTTGACTTTGACTTTGGTTACAGGTGGCTAGTATCCCTATTAAATTTCATTTGGGAAGCGATTATATGGAATCCGGCATACAGAGAAAGGTTTGTAGGCAACGATGGCATATACAAGTTACTGGACATTATTACGGTAAGTATATTAGTGAAATTATGCTAATCGGTACCTACGATGCTGCTGCGCTAAGCGAGAGAAATTTTACGACCTTCTCAGTTCTCTAATTATAAGAATAACTTAGTATTTTGATTTATGTTTCCATCACAAATAGCAGTTTATGCCAAGAATGTAGTGTAGAGCTGTGATTTCATTTAATGTGATTATAGGGTGTAGGTTAATGGGACAGTGTTTGTTAAATGAGAAACTGTTTAGTGGTTTGAGTTACCTACACACTTTTTGTATCGTTTGTGTAGGTGATAATGTAAGTAGTTTATAATGTTATTATTAGATTTTCTATGGCACATGAGAGCATTGTGCGCGATGCGCTAAAATTTCATGAAACCATCTTTATTTATAAACTTAAATTTTATTAATCAATCACATCAGTCACAATCATATCATAAATCAATGACACGTTTCACCCATCATTTTAATAGTTCTCGAATAACGCCCTCTATAGTTTATGCTACGAATTAACTAAGTCTGCACCGTTATCTGAAATGAATCTGAATGGATTTTGCAGCACAAGTCCGCACAACTATTCATTTGAAATATATTTAAGGATCTAAACTGTTGAAGCACTTTCACAGACAATTTGATTTATGCGTAGAGTAATATCAATTCTCAATATCTTGTAATTACGGGATGCAATCATGTTGTAGTCTGGACGAGGGGCACTGGCGATTCGTTTAGTTCCTACCAACGGACAGCACTATTAATATCGATGTGAAGGAGTCGCGTGCATTGACTAGGGAAGTCGTGACTTCCTACTTGGGCTATTCAATTGGAGTAAAACGCTGGTCGTTGGTGACTATTTCTTTTTGTATCTTTGGTCGTGGTGCTCAACTGTGCGGATAACATCACAGCCGTATCGTGCCTTATAGAAGTTGTCTATGGTATCGTTACACTCTCTATGTATATTTACCTATAGTAAAGTAAGCTACTTTAGTTTTTATCCTACTCTGCCTTCCTACCTTGGATCCTTCACTTCGAATTAGTGCACTCTAACCATATCCTTTGTCACATCACATTTTGGTCAAGACTTGATCAATGGACCGTCGTCGTCATTACCATCAAGATGTTTGAGACTTACATCAAGTAACAGTTTATTGTGTAAATTCTACAATTTAGTCACAATCTTATCAGTTCATCAAACAACAACGTTTCCTTATCCATTTTCGTCTAAGTCCATCCATTCAATATACAAGTACTACAAGTAGTTATTATTAGTACTACAATAGTTTGAGACCCACTGGCCTTAGTCCGTTGTTGTTGCCTACTGCGCAGAGGATGCGAGACAACCGTTGGAATGGACGGCGTGATACGTATCCATTTAAACTAATCTGACAGAATACATGCGTAACGGTTGGACGCAGCTTTGTTGCGATATGCAGGAAATTATTCCGTACATCCTTTTTTACATTGATAACTTGAAAATTCGTTTGCAACGGTGAAATTCGATTCACAAAGTCTTGGCTTAGGTTTCCTACACATGAGACATCTTTGTAAACAATCATAGCATGATTTTCTTAAGATCGAAGTAGATAATATGTAAGTCAAATCACCACCCGATGACCACAATTTTTTAGTTTCCCTTTCGTTCTAGATGACTCGACCAGCAGTTCAATGCATCGCACTAGCGGTGGTATGCGACATCGCTCGCGCCGGCGATGCAGTCGGCCAGCTGGTATCATGGCGAGCCAATCTTGGAGCCTCTAATGCGGTAACCCTCAAATCTGATCAGGAACTTAGAGTAGGCCACTGGCAAGTGAAGGGTTTAAGGCAATTAGTTTAGCATATGCCTGATTTTAGTATTGTATTTAGTTGGATAAGAAATTGTACTACCTGTAAACTAAACTAATAAGCCGCTTTATTTCGTGTCTATGTATTTCTTCATTCCACCACCACCAGTGTACCACTTGAATCTAGTTGTACTGCATACATTTTGCGACTTGTCCGCCGAATGCCACCGATGTTGTGGAGAATAAACTTTCGAAGGCTAACCTCGACCAAAAATTCAATTAATTCTTAAAGTGAAAATGGTCGTAACTCGTACCCAGTTCTATGAAATGATAGGATCAATGGTAATCGTGCAGCCAACGATTAGTTTTCAACGGACACTTGGTGAAAGCAGTGTTTTGCATAGATTACTATCCTCTTGTAACGCGTGTCACGGTAGATATGCACCCTATTGCAACAAATAGTCGGTACACATGTCATTGGAAATTAATAGTAAGTACAATATCCACTTTCTGAATAAAGGTATAAGATATATCCAATTCCAATGACTCCCCGAGCTTGAGCATCCACGGAAATGTTTAGTGTTTGCCACCAACGACTTTTTAAAGACACCTCAACCTTTCAATCATAGTTAACGACTGGCAGAATGTGACTATGCTATCAATATATTTTCAGAACCCAAACGTAGTGCAACGCGGTGCAACTATCGCGAGCCTACTGGCATCAGTGTTTCGTGAAGGGTGTCGGTCTTTAGGAGTAAAACTTGACGAAAATGGAGTATTACAAGGTTGGTTACCTTGGGACTTACTGCAGCTCAGAAGCATTGATATCATCATTATCATAACAATCACAAGACGAGAATTCCTTGACCTTCCCCCGTAACTTCCAGATTGGTGCGTTATAAGTTCGTTACCGCTCTTTTGAATATTTGAGGATTGGGGGGATAGTGTGGCAGGATCAGCTGGTGTTACACCAACTCTTTTTTTTCTTCATATTTAATGTTTTCAACAGAATTAAATCACCCAATCATGTCAGAGGATGTTCGCAACGAGCTGGAGAACACAGATGAATATTATGCTGTCAATCATTCACCCCTTTTGTGCTTCGCTGCAGAAGACATGGCTGGTTCCTGTATGTCGAAGGTTAGGATTTGAGAACAATTTTCTACTTAATTCTTGAGTTCTTTAATTATGTAGTATAGGATTTTATAGGTGCTGGGGCTGACTGATGTTATTACGAATAGGAAACACCCGATGATCCGATTCCGATGTTCACGCGACGGTTGTGTTGCGCTCGAGCAAGATTTGTAATAGGTACTTACCCACTTAATACAGATTTAAAAATGTCCTTACATGATTATTTTTTCTTCTTTATCCTACCTGATTACATTTATAAACACATACAACATACTCACGTCCGAATACTGAAAGGCTACTCAATTTTAAGTTGTACTTAAATATCATGCCATCTCTGTCATTTTACTAGATGCTAATAAATTTGCAACGCATAAAATTACGATACGAATAGCTGCGATGCGATTTCGTGCGACCAGGCGTCTCCCATTGTGACCATTCCTTCGACGACCGTCAACCGTACCTACTAAACATATTTTAAGTTGAAAACTCGGTCGTAACATGGATCGTAAAAAGAAATGTGCAAGTGTGCACTTTAGTTATTGCTTAGGAGATAAAGGGAAAAAGAAACAGAGAATATTTTGGAAAGATAAGAATTTGATGCGTGATGCGAATCTATTCGCAAGTTCTTGCGATACGTAGAGGGAGCTCGTATAGTTTTGCCATGCGACGGCGCATCGCGTTTTGTGTACGAGCCCTGCAGTTGAGTAGCGTTTGAGTATTTGGACATCAGATCCGGAATCTACGGAAAGTCAATTAAAGTATAGTTTCATGCTGTATCTCACACAAACGACACGATGTACGTCAGCCAGTTGCCCAGCTGCACCAGCAGTAGATTCATGCAGTCAGTATGCACAAACTTTAATAATATTTGAAAATATTGTCTTGTTTGCGTGCTTGTTAAAGCGAAGTTATGTATACGCCAACAGGCATGGTAACCCTGACATCTGTTTGTTGCAGGCCTTCGCTATATTGCATATGCTGTCTGAAGACCTAAACGACAGAGTGGAACTAGCTGATGAAGCCTATAATTTGTACAAGAACATAAAGTTGACTTTGGAAGACGAGGTATCTTGTTGCCTTCCTTTGTACTATATTACTTTTGTAGATAATAGTGTCTGACAGTGGGCTTTGCTGATCCTACAGCTTAAAATGAGTTAAGAGCTCGAGTTACCTCTTAAACTATATCTAGTAAGCGAAGTAGTAAATACTGAGAACACCAATTACCTGGCTCGTCAGCTTTCTGCAGTTCAGAACAGATTTGCTTACTTATTTATTTTTTTTACTTTTAATTTTTTTTTATACGAATTTATTCTTGTAAAAATGAGTATTGATTACATTGATTATTATTATAATAAATGTTGTCCATCCGCAGGTGACATTAGTGCTTTGTTCTCATTACCTGACGCTAAAATTAAATGAAGTATGGATGGAGACAAAGGTACAATGCGTGAAAATGTTTGAGCCAGACAGTGTTGTTGTCGACGACTTCCTTAATGTTGGCAAGTAAGTTCCTTTTATCTTCATCTTCATCGTTAGCCTCTAACATAGCATTACAGAATTATTGATCATCACACTTACTCAAGGCAGATGTTTAACTTAATACCTACTTTGAAATTATGATGAGTCGGTTTCCCCACGAAATTCTCATTCAATGTTGGTTTATTGTTGCTTCTCAGAGGCTGGGCCAAAGAAATAAAACGCCAGCAAGAAGACGTTATTACAAAAGACCGAAAGAAGGTACTTGCCTACATAATTTGTCAATCAGTTGTTAACCAAAAGAAGTTTAGAAGAAAATGCTTTATATTTGTCTCTCCTAACCTGGACTTACCTACTCAGGTGGAAGACAGTTTTTTTAAAAAAAAACGTTGCCCCACACTAGGAGTTTTTCCTGTGTCGTGGGTGCGTTTACAAACATACAAGCTCACATACACATGACACCCAGACGTTCACTGACACTCAGTGTTATTTATCCGCTGTTCTTCTAGCAGCATTTTATTTATGTTTACAAAACTCTTTAGGTAACTCTGCATGTTCTTTTTTGCTCTAAACAATTGAAACAATCCCAAGCTGTTGTTAAGCAAGAGAGGACAGGAAGAGATTAAAGAATTAGTACCAACAGAAAACCAATGTCAAATATTTTTCAAATCCCCAGGAAAGAGAAGAAGAGTGTTCTTTATACGCCTTTCTGGGTCGCATTCGTCTGAATATTGCGCTCGATGCTTTGCGCACTGTACGCTGTGTGGCTCGTTCCTCGGATAATGCGCGCATAAGGCACGCTATGCTGCATGATGCCGTGTTCGCACACCATCGACGATCGCTATGCGTAAAGAATAACGCCCCAACACTGTTGCGCACTTACAAGGCACCTCTTGATGATCAGGTATTGTGTATAGAAGTTTGGTTAGATACGTAGTGGCCACAGCTGGATATCATACCTACTATTTACCTATTCTTCAAAAATATTAGAATCAAACCAGCTAGATTGATATCGATTGTAACGGGGTCCTTTAGCCTTTCGGCCCAGATTTTATATAAGTATCGTATCATTTTTTTCTACATGCTATATAGGGAGTAGGAGGAGTATAGAAACATCTACAAAATATCACCATTCATCACCCACGTCTCCTTTTTGTGGGCGAAGCGTAGCGATCAGTAGGGCTATCTATCCTCTAGAAATCACCCAAGAATCGCGTAAAATGCCCGGAACAATGTGATATGCCTGGAACAATGTGTGTGATGTCATCATCATCATCCAATACGGAAGTCACATAGCTAGGATCTCCTCCTGCGGCCTGGGCACTGGTCATGTTCGTCCTTCAATTTGACCCTGGATAGTGATCTGAAGGAGTCATTAGCATTTGGGGTTTCTCACGATGTCTCCCATATATTTCAGTTTTCTCGTTTGAATTGTCTTCTCTACACCCTTCCTCCCTCTTCACACGTTGATGTATTTTATAAATGCACTATTGTTAGCACTCTGTCTGGCCTTGATGGGTCTAATATGTCTAATGTAAAACGGGATAAGTTTCTTGGATTACCTTCTATATCTCTTCCCACGAGAATTTATCATGTACTACAGTGTAGTGTTCGATTCCTAATCACCCCGTTTTACGATAATTTATATTTCTCTTCGTCGTTTAACCCCTTGCAGAATGGTTAGATTGTCATGACAAGCTTCACAATACATTGCAAGTCATCGCTGCTGTAGCTTTTTCGTGTATTTGTGAAGTGGACTATTGAGTGCAATCCGTGCAATTTGGTCTGATCGGTCCATTACCCTCTTGTAATTGCCATTTCCCAATTACAGAACATTACCGGACAAAATGTAAAGGTGAGCAGCATTCGTCCCAAGAACAGAAGGGATTCGCTGGACTTTGAAATGGAAGTCGAAATTTCAGAGGAAACGCAGACTAGTGAATAAATTGCGCTGTCCGTCTGTCAACCATTTATCGTCATTAGCACCTCACAATAAAACCTTTCACCTTTCTCGGCACTTGTGTCGTCTTAGATATTAATATGCAAGTCTACAGGGTAACTCGTACTGTTGCGCCTGCATATAATTTAATCTTTCTTTTTTCATATATTTCTTGTCAGCACACCCACTATCCGTAACTTTTGCTGTATAATTCTTTTAAAGTCAACGTCTTTATGACTTTAATCTTATGCAAGGAAAAGGACAAGAAGGTAGGTATTCTAATTAATACATATTTTCGTTGCAATTATGATATGTTATATAGGAATGTATAACTATGTTAAAAATGAAAAACCAATAAATTTTTATTAGAAAGGTCTGTATTTTATTTCAAAGCCGTTAATGTCCATGTGTAAACATTCATTACAAATCTATGAAGCTAATGTATTACGAAACGCAACACAAACACGGTGTTTGCAACACTTACAAGCTTGTTACACTAGCATACAATGTCACGTAACATGTTACACAAAACATTATGATGGTGCATTCTACAGAACTTTGTCAAGGAATGTCCTATTTTAATATGCAACATGTTTCCAGTTGTCACTTCGACAGACTGTCGCATAACACGTTACGTGACACGTTGCTATCTAGTGACATTGGCTTAATGATAACACAACTTATCTACTAGATAGGTATACAAACTGCTACAGGTAGAGTACAATCGATTTCTTTTTATTATTAAATGTATTACTACTTCTAAATGTCTATATTTCCCATAGGCTGGTCAATTGAAATCTTGTTTTATGTTTTTTCAACTGGTAGCATTTTCGATAGAATATGTCAGATTGGACATCGACCAACTTCTCAGAAACAAGATGTTTAACATAATAGTGATATTGATGATATATACATCTGCGTATGTATTATGCGTCTACGTAACTCGTTTTATGGTACTTAGAAACAAAATTTTATTAGATAGGTGAAATATTATGATGTTAAACAAAATGATAATTTACAAATGCAATAAACATGTTAAAACTGTAGTTTAAATAATCTATGGTAGTGTTGATGATGATTTAGTTTGTCTTCACACAACTATTTCTATAAATAAATTAATTAGTACACAAAAACGTTCAATTGTAATTCGCTTAAAACAGTTATTTAAAATATCTATGAAATGGCTAAAATATCATGATTTGTGATTTTTGTAGTTTAAAATAAATATTTTTAGCATGATTTTGATTGATTAATTAAATGATTTTCTCTATTTGAACAGGATAGTGACATTTATAGTGAACTTAAATTTTCAAACTTATTATTATAGGCATAAGAATGATAATAAATATTTCTACTCAATAAAATAATTTTGAGCCCTCTTTTGTAAAGAAAGTTGCTAGGTGCATAAGCACCAAGTAATGTATGTACTGTTGACTTACAATAACTTATTGCTATATTTTCGCATCCATTACTTCGATGTCTTTTATCTATTGTCAAACAAACCGAAGCTAATCCTTGTCCTTAGATACTTGCTCAGTAGTAGTCAAAGACAGATTCAGTTGGCGATTTGAAAAGAGAAAATAAGACTTATTACGATATAGGCTCTTAAAACTGAAGATGGTTAGTCCAGTTACTGTGAACAACAAGTTTATTTCAACTATTGTTCATTAACTTTGACTAGGTGCAGTGGCCAGAACAACATAGAAACTCCTTTCAACTTTATTGTTTTGATATAAAATGCAAATTGCAATGAAAAAATTGACAGGCTGACCTTATTTACTTGCTATCGTAATTTAAGTTATTTTTTAAACACTGTCTTTGAAAACCTAAGAAAGAACTTGGTCTAAGACTACAAACTGACACGAGCACCAAGTCTATCGTGCAGAACCGTGCAGAAACGATAACATGTACAGTCGATAGCCACTGGTGCTTACTACCGACTTATATTTACTCTGCTACTGTTGATGTTAATATTAAATGCATTAATGACTATTTTTAAACGAATACTCAAACGCAATTGTGAGTGATATTAAACCATGTGAAGAATATAACATTTTAATGACAATAGAGGACTTAGCGTTAACGTTTATCGAGTTCAAATCGAGACTGCGTTCGGCGCTCTGATTCGTTGGTACATTGTAGTCAGCCAATCAGGGCGTCGGACACGGTCTCATTTCGATTTCGTTCAACGCAAAACAAACTGGTGCTAAGCCCGCTAAATTTTAGAATTAATAAAAGAGTAAGATAGACATTTGTATCAGCAGAATAGTGATTTTATCTTTCGTTCGCGTCGTGAGCCTTTTTATGTATTGTTTTTTGAACCAAGTTAATAGTTCTTAATAAATTGTCGTTTGAGTATTTGATATATTCATACTGTAACCTATACATAACTGTAACTATTGTAAATGAAACTATGATACTAATAATATGCTTATGTTTAGTATAATTATGAAAACCACATTAATTCATACTATGATAGAAATCGGCTTAACATAAGTACATGAATGAACTCTATTATTATATAGAATGTGTATTATTACATAATATGCTTTGTTAGTACATAAAGATTATTAATAGTGTTGTTTTTATTATGTTGATTAAAATATTAGAAAAGCCTTGAGTTATGAGTGAGAACACTCGACTAAGTTATACATTCAAAATGTATTTCTTAGCCAATAATGTATTTTATGTACTATAATATGTGTTTTAACATATAATAGCTATCCTGCTATATAAATAGATTATACGATATATAACAAATGTACTTTTGGTCAACTATGTGCCTTAAATTAAAGCTTAATAATTATCCCTTAAATATGGCGACTACTTACACCCAATTATGACTTATTTCCACTTAAACACTTAATACCGTTTTCATCAATCACTCCTAAACTGTCACTTAACTAGAAGTGACTTAGCGTGAAACTTCTAAACTGGCCCCTAACTTGTACTGTTAGATCGCACTTAGAGGTTGGTGAAAACAAGAAGAACGTTAAGTATCCATCTGTCACAGCTTAGGGCTTCATTTAAATTTAGAAATGGTTGATGAAAACTGCGAGTGATTTAATAGAAACTGCTGCTCAAAGTATACTAAATAAACGTGATTTAGTACATGTTTTAATAGATTATGTAACCTGTTTCACTAGTTCAATAGTTAATTTAATAACGGCGACAGGCATACAGATCAATCAAAACAGGTCCTAAATAATATTTTATATGTGAAAGCTAAAACTATTGTTTTAAAGTACTGAACATGATAATACAATAATAGTAAGTTCAAATTAAACACAAAATGAGCAAAATGTTTATTATATTATGTATTACTAAAATGATACCACTAAAAAGCTCTCATATTGAAACAATCTAATCGTAGGTGTACAAATGATAGCTTATAGCTAATATAATTTTGCTAATGAAAATGTACCTTACATATTTGTGTTAAGGTCGTATTCACCAACTGCTTTTTTCTAGCTTTCAATGCTACATTTAGATCCTCGTCTTTCTATCAGGTTTACAAATTAATGAAAAATAGACCTTAAGCTATAGGACAATTGATTTAAATTATTTTAATTTTGTTAATGATCTTTGTTTACAATTACCAAGATTATTTAGTCAGAAAGCTGTAGATCGGATTAGACATGTTTATAGGGACGGACCATTAGTCTCAAATGTCCATAAAATATGATGTATACGTAATGTGTTTAGCATGATTATACTGCATTAAATATAATAAATAACATTAAGGGAAAATTGGAATAACTTTTTTTGGTTCCTCATTTACCCAGGATTTAGTTCCTAACTGAGTTATTTAAAGTCTAGTTGTACACAATATGAGCTGAAAAGTAGGATGGTAACGAACCCTTTGGACTTGCCTTCAACAAATATCTGTCGGCAGCCAGTCTGTACTATAGTAAACAGGGTGTTTCGTAATTTGTGACAATTTAAACGACAAATGACGTAAAATCCTAGATCGCGCACGTGAAGTTCGCGGACAATTAAACATGGATAGAAAATCCCTACTATCACCTGTTGGGCAGGCAGTAGGCACGCACGCACCCCAGGCATGATCACTTCATTAGGTCGAAGGATCCTTCTTTTCTAATCTTAGGGAACATTACTGTTCCCTAAAAATAAAATATTAGCTTTATCTCACATTATGAAACTAAACTTTAGAAAGATACCAATAACTCGAACTTTAAGAACTCAAAGAACTGGGAATCAATAGTTCTAAGTAATTTATACTCCTTAGTCCTAAATAAAGCAATTTAATTGTTATAACAATATTAATATAATGTAATAAATAAGTGTATGCCAACATTTTATAACAAATAGTTTATAGAATATATAGTTTAACCAAACCGAATATAAATATTTAATTTGAATGTATGAGTCATAGATTTCGAGCCCTAATATAAAACTTAGCTAAATATGAGTGAAATGCGAACTTACTTAACTAATGTGCACCCCGTGTACCTATGGAATTAAAGTAAATTTAACGGAACAATTATATTATTACCGTGATTGCATCTGTTGTTTCAATTGTTTTATAACAATCACATACGTACAGCCGCTTCGTACCAAATAAAATCAAAAATAATTTCTTAATAACAAACAATAATACCCAAAAAACAACAAAAAAGAATAACTTTGGCTAATTTTGTAACTTAACTTATTTTCCCCGATGACATTAATTTTTATGTGCAATAAAATTTCTTCGATTTAATCGAACCCACGAGGCACAATAGAATTTTGAATGTTTGACAATAACACTAATGTATTTAATTTAACCATTAACGACTGACTAGCGAAATAAAACAGTTACAAACTAACAACACCAAAACTTAAAGGAAATAAATTAATGAAGATGTTAGATTTACATGTAACTTGCAGTAGCCATTTTAGTTAAATTTCTGATATATGACAACTCATTTAGAAACAACAATAAGAAACGCGAAATAATAAAATACAGAGAAATAAACTATCGGAAAATAGAGAACGACACCATACACAAAATAGAATTTTGTTGGTTGAGAATTTGCAACTGGACCGAAGTCCAAAATCTCCAGAAGAATATATGAGTTTTTGATACAAATTCTATCGAAGTAGTGTCAAAAACCAATTCCAATCTAAAGATTATGGATTCGGATGGGATATTGATTTCGACTGCAATCCAATAAGTTGTCATACACCAGAAAGGTGATGGTGTCAAAAATTAGGGTTGGCACGTTAATGACTTTAGATCTTAGTCGTTGCTCCGAAGGCACTCCACTTACATATGATTTTATCTATTTATTTATAATCTGAACTACGCTGCACTATTTTACAGTTGCAAAAGGCCGCTGTTGATGCCATATGGTTGTATTATATATAGTATTCTAGCATAATTATAGTTACTATGTATAGCTAAATCTTAGTTATTTGTAAGAAAACTTAGAACTGTTATTTACGAAACTGTTATGTGAGTGGAAAATATCTAGCTACAGGATAGTATACAAGAGAATATAGATTAAGATGACTGCACACGACGTGTAAAATCTACACTAAATTTATCTTAACAGTAGTTGACACAAAATGCTACAATTTTATTATAAGCAACAAGTAACAATGTTGACGTCTACAGCCTACAATGACCTTTACCATCGAATAAATTATTCTTATCTCTCACACAAATATTTACATTGAACATTATTGTACATAGAACTGATGATACCTAGAAACTAGATACTAGGATACTTTACTTAAATGATATTACATTGTAAAGCAAGAAACAATATTAAAATTTTGATTATAACACGAACGCTTTATAATCTATGTCACTGAGTAATCGTGAACGATTGCTCAGTTGTATTGTGTAATTGTAATAAGTGTGTAGTTTAATGTCAACTGAAGCCATCTGTTGCCCGCGGCGCGTTATCAATATATATTATAATAGAGGCTACCTTTATCAGGTCAGTCGTACGTCATTCAAAGTCTTGTCTAGTTTCCCAGTCTTACGTTGCTTGAAGTTATAAATATTTTATATTTATAGCCGCAAGTGTCGATTATCATACGCTGAAAACTCATGGAGAAATATTCATATGTGTGTAAACTTAACCTCTTGTATGTCGGTATTTAAGACACAATAGAAAACGCATTGTCTCGCGTAGATGTACGCTCCGACTTACCAGAGGTTAATAGATGTGCAGACCAGATCATAAGCCTGGCTAAAGATGATGTTACCACAACTAGATAAGAAGTCAGCTCCATGAGTTTACCCCTATTTTTCCTAATACCTTCCTATCCTTATATACTGCGACGCAAACATTCCTTAGAAAATATCAGAATAGTGGCTTACTTGTGTGTTTAATAAATATGATACAAAATACCATTAGCCTAAAAAGCATCAGTCACAGTAATATGAGCATTGTAGAGTAAACTTTAGATAATTAATTTGCACTATGTTTGACCATAGAATTGAGATTGAGTATGATGTCCAACAATAAAGATGTTTTTATATACTAACAATCTTACTAATAAACATATAGATGTATCGCATAAGAGAGGTATAGCAGATTCAGTACTATTAACACCTTGAACGCCATGGGGGACAAGGTATGGACCACAATAGCGGAGGATTTGACTTCAACAGTTTTCTGTCGGCAGTCAACCTGTTAAACAACATTTGACATTTATCGGGTGTACAATTGTTATAATGGATGTGTTGTGTGCATTCAAAATGTCTCCATTTTTAATATGACTCGTCCACATAATACGGCAAGCCAGAGATAAGGAACTGTGACGTCATCCTGGAGCAATTACGATGATTACTAAAACAGGATCATTGTGTAAAATGGTTTTCTTGTGCAATTTTGGAATGCTTATGTCAATGTTGCAAGTGATCGGTAGCGTAAGAAAATAGTTACTCAAGTGTTACCCACTATGTATTAGTAACGTGTTGTGTAAGAGAATATTCTCTCCCTGTTCAATAAATAAGTACCAGGATGAGAATTTTATTAGTAAGACTGTAAGTATGTGTAAGAGCTTCGCATTGTGCTATCCTTGTATTTCCCAGCCAAAGAAAAAAGATAGCATCTGCGAGATACTGCACATTCTGATTTCGATACAATACAATGACTTCGTAGAGTATTGTTGGACATATTGGCAAGTAAATACTGATAACATTTTTAGTTGTAAACAGATGCAACTATTGAGTATTGCTAGACTAAAGACTTTATGTAGATTATATTATACAGTACATAACAACTCTATCGATTCAGGTTAGACGAGATGGCGCTTCACACTATCCAGTGCAATACAATAGTCGATAACATTACAATATAAATATCTACAAACCCTTAACTTTCAAGCAGTGCGAAGGGACACGAAATGAGAAACGGTACCGTTACACGGCTTATACATACTACTAAACATTTTATATAAAATCCTCGCAAACACACTGGCTTGCTGCAAACGGGAAACAGCTAATATTAAATAACTTCAATAAAGTTCGCAAAATTTTAGTTGACGTTAATGACGACTGTCAAATTCATCATCTGACAGCCGTCATCGATATTACAGTTTTACACATAAACATCTGTAATCTATATTTTACGATCTAAAGTTAACACGTGAAAACCTACAATCTTCCTACAACTACACGTTTTAGTTTTGTCGATATAAATGCTGATTTCGTTGTCCTATCCAACTACTGACTTCAATAGCAACTAATTTAAAATCTCAGATTTATTTGAATATTTTTATTCGCACTGCGCAACACTAGGGCCTTACTCTAATAACAATCATGCAGTCTTACTTCCAGTCGGGTTTAGGAGCGATCTGAGCCTTCAGAGTTGCTGAACATGGAAGCTACCATGTTGTCAAACTCAGGGACGGCATCTTCGAACATCTTGAGTTGTTTCGACAGCGACTCGGAGTCCGCCGAGCCCGAATCGATCACGATGTCTGTCCACTCGTCACTGATAGACCTTGCCTGTAAGCATTCCTGATAGAAGTTCGCCAATTCCGCAATGGGACTGCCATCAGCAAAGGGGAATTCCTGGAAATTGAGACACAATAGTGTGAACTCATTTCTCTTTTCTTAGCAATAGCACTAACTTAGAATATTTGTAATGATATGAATTATGAATGATTTTTTTTATTATAATTCCTGTATTTGCAGATGGCTGGATGATTTTGATGATTGGTGGATATAATTAAAAAATATAGCATTACCATAAGTCCCGTGTATTTATCTCCATTCTTAGACTTGGGTACTTCGATGGCCCTGCTGACGGCGTGAGTGGACGAGCTCGGCACCGGCACGCTGCTGCTGCAGCTCGGCTGGTTCGCGTTCTCGTGGTCAGACGTTGTTAGCACGTTGTCATTGTCTGACGTCGTCAGCGTTTTCATTTTCTGCAAGATATAAAAAGGTGTTTAGTTAAAAGGCCGGCAACGCAAAGCCTCTGGTATTGCGGGCAACATTAGTGATCCGTATGTTCGTTTGTGGCCCCATGCCATAAAAAAGTTACAATATCAAAACACAAAGAAATAACATGAAATGTATTTTGATACATAATACATAAAGATTTTGTAACTGATTTATTAAACTACCGCATTGAAATGTCTCCTTACATTTTCCATTTTTTCCTTCTCGGCAAGCAGCCAGGCCATGGGTGGCTCTGGAGGTAGTTGCTCACTGAGTGTTCTATGCAATTCTTGTATCTTTGACTGGTCAACAAATGCTCCTGCCGTCAAGGGTTTGGACAGGTCCAGTTCTTTCTTCTCATTCCGGTTTTTTCTAGAACGAATTTTATTTTAGTTTAGTATGTTGGGTTATTTAAGATCGACATTGAGCTGAATATAATCAACCTAGTTGGGAAAAAGCCAGGAAGAATACTGTTAGCAATAAATCTTAGAATTTCATTATATATTTTTTGTTTTAGTGCTAAAGTTATAAATATACTAATAGCATTTTACACTCGAATGTTGTACAAAACATACGAGAAAAAATTTCAAATATCATGCTGTCTCTGCAAGACTTACAAAGATTCCTGATTGTGGCACAGAAACACTTCAGAAGTTAATCACACATTGAGTAATGTTTGAGTACTTATAGATAATAATCATCTATTATACTTAAGAAATATTGTTCAGCCACTGATTTCTTGGTCCACTAATAAGAACAACTCATTATTACAAAAATAGACAACATAAAGCGCAAAATATTAACTAACTTCAGTCAATCAAAAGCAAAGTAGGTACACTATGACTATGTGTATATTTGTCTATGTATCTACACGGATTTTTTATACCTAACTAATCAATCAATATACATAATAGCTAGCTTCTGCCAATGGCTTCACCCGTGCCTATATGTTATTCCAAATCATAATCTACCCCTGTTTCAAATTTTATACCGATCACTTCAGCCGTTTCGACATGCTTTAGTAAAAAACGTACACACAAACACATTATAATGTTAGAACAAAAAGAAGATTAAGAAAATTAGCAAGATAAAGGTATCTTTGGTACAAGCCTAAAGCAGGCTAAAACCATGATCAGTAAATTCATTTTCGATAACTACCTATTTTAAACAAACTTTTTTTCTTTAAGTCGTTTTCTTTCTGGGCGCTTACTATTTTCGATATATTCATAATCTTACTTTTATCTCAACTGTTACCTAAATAAAGATTAATCGATCATATCAATACTTACTTGGGGCTCTCAGTGTAAAAGTGGTCACTCTTGACCATAATCCCAGTAGTGGCCGGTGCAGCCTCATACTCAATCTTCTGCCTCGCTTCAGGCATGATCGTCATTTTCGTTCTGTACACCACTTCTATCAGCAAAGTCCCGATAGGTGTGTGCAGCTCACTTACTTTTATCGTCTTGCGTTTCTCACCTAGAAATCAATGGGATTGTTTTAGTATTAGAACATAGTAAATACATAGATTTGTAAATACTTTGTCGTGGTGGCTCCGGGCCACGGGGGTTTAAGACGCCCGCTTTTCATACATGAAGTGGGGCTTCGAAACCTACAAACAGCAATTACCAATGTAACTTTTTCCGAGTTATATGTACTTTCTAAGATTATTTAGACATCACGGACAAACATCGTGAGGAAACCAGGGCTTGCAATTTCTAATTATACGTTTGAAATCGCCAACCCGCATAGATCAAGCTATTAATGCTCAAACCTATTTCGTGTGAGAAGAGGGTTTGCTTAGCAATGGGCATTTATAGGCAGTTGATGAAATTCACAGATATCCTCACGTTTGAGAATGAGAGACTCGTTAGAGTAGGAGACAATAAAAATATTCAAAATAATTAATAAAATCTCCTTTTTAAATTATAAGTAATTTAATAAAGAACTAGCTCAATAAGGGTGGAAGGAAGTGTTTGCGTATCCAGACTAAAAGTTACTCCTAAAAAGATTCATTACCAAAGATTTTTCAACCAGCAACATGAATTGTAAGTACATACCTAACAATAGCAATTGATTATAATTAAGATATTGCTAAGTAAATACACTAGGCACCCATATCTTGCCGGGTTAGAAAAACAAGAGTTAATTAAAAGGCGCACCTAATTATCGATTGACTAGGCTCACATAGATCTAGAGAGACTAATCGCGATAAGGCACAGCGTACGGTTGACTAGAGTTATGTTTGTGAACTGGCTGGTCATCCGAACAGGATGTTGCGTGTCGCTAAGCTTGTGTTGTGACTTAACAATGCGCATCTATTAATGAACGCCCCTGTATGTAATGTACATGATAGATAAAGTGTTAATGAACACAATCGTTGTCAACAAAACGCCAATATGCTAATTACTTGATTATCTGAGTGCAGGATATCATGTATTACTTAGGTATTTTAATTTACTTATGTAACCACTTAGTGATTGCTATCATGTTTAGGTATCAGTTTATTTACATTTTAGGATTAACGTGTGTGTTGATTAATTCATGATATAAAATATGTGTATTGTTTCTTTTGGAGATTGTACTACTTACTTATACTATATTTTACGAAATCCACGTGTTATAGGTGACATTAATTATATCTTTTTATCACTATGTCGATATTATAAAGTTGAAGAAATTATTTTCTTTGTTTGATTATCTCAATAATCTCATCGACGAATTTTTTTATCTTTATGTGAATTGAAAGGTTGCTAGGTGGACCAAAAACTACTTTCAAAACTGAAGAAGCTATTTGAACAATGTGTCTCTTTAGTCAGTGAACACAAAAATTAGGTATAATAAAGCTCGCAGCTCGTGTAAAATGCGAATTTGTTTAGTAAATTAGCAATTACGGAATTTAGAGAAAAAAGGAAACTGCATAGGTGTAGGTAAAAATTTTCACTTTTTTTCACTTTTTAACATTCAAAATACAAAAATCTCTCCAAAAAGGAATAACAATAGCTTACCTAAGACATCGTAATCAGGTGCACCACCATAGATCTTATGGGATATCTTGTAAGACTCATTATGCTGTGACCTCGACAGCTTGTAGGCCGGTGTTATCCTGGATATCGTCAGGGTGGACTTGAGCATCACGCTCATGCGATAGTAGACCGTCGAAGGGGAGCAGACCTCACTGCCTGGAGACAACTTGACCGTCCACAACTCCAGCACCATGTCATCTCCATCAACAGTGTGCAAAGATATCTCGATACATAAAACTTTAGTCAGTGCATCCACTACCTCTCCGTTCAGCACACGTTTCGTATCCTCAGTTACTCCCGGTTCGTCCGGAATCGATAAGTTGAACTAGAACAAGAATAAAATTTTTTATACTTAGGTAATTTATTATTAGGAGCTGGTCAGTGAGTTCCGGTTCATTAGGATTAGATTTTATTATTTTTTTTACAGTTAAATATTAATCTGCGTACAATTGATGAAAATAAACAACAGCGTGCCTTCTTTTCTTTAATCTTTTATGTTTTTTTAATAAACTAAACACAATTAAATCAAAACATACCTAACCAACCATCGCATCGTGCCATAGTAAGAGTGGATAGCCAGTAAAAGTATTTCGCCAAGGAGTCTTAATATAATACAACGCAAGCCTCTAATTAGGCATCGAACATCAATCCTAAACTTCAAGATGATACTGATAGCTTTCGAATCCCAAACTTCCACTTTTCTCAGTTTCGAACCTGAGACGGGTTCCTCGAATGGCGCACTAGCGCCATTCGATTATTCTTTACATGCAGTAACGGCTTATGAGCTCAGCACTATTATTCTCTGTGTTTGATTTAATATATTTTTTATGTGTTGGTATTAGTAACAAGTTAACACTATTACGACACAACAAAGTCTTACAGTACAAACTAAACTCTATTACAAGCTTATACATTGTGTAAACATAAGTACTCAGTTAATAAAAGCCCTATAAAATAGAGGACTAATAAAAATGTAAGACATTTATATAGGTAGGTATCAGGTAGGTACATTATTTCTATCTACCCCATTTATATGGGCAACAGTGAGGGTATGAGTTGACCTTTATCTATCTATTTCCTTTAAGTTGTAAGTTGTATAAAATGTATGGAAGTATAGAAATATAGTCAAATCAAAACAATGAAGTTAGAGGAACATGTAACACAACATACATAACTAAAAATAAACGCTGACCAGAGGATGAATACAAAAACAATAGATATTGTATTGGAAAACTACATGTGAAGGTTAAAAACTCTGTTTAAAACAACTTTGAGTGGCACCAGTCTCACATGGACTGACCTACATTTCCCGGTGACAAACTTATCTGCTTTTAAATTGAGCCATCCATTTTTCTAGCAATGGAAAATCAATATGGATTAATTATTTAACTCTAAACTTGGTAACACTGCATTATTTAGCAAACGGAAAGTAGGCTACCTTTACCTGGAGAATAGTGATATATTTTGACTACTTTGTAAGTTTAGACATCGCTAGCATGCATGCAACTGATTCAATACTTTACAGGTTAGATCGACATTTAACCTTCAGTTTTGTGGGACCAATAACATAACTGTTATGTGGATATGTAATATTAAATTATATTTGGTAAACCTTCTTTTGAGAACCTACACTTTAGTCAGTTTGACATTCGCAGAAATACATCTCAACATTCGCTGAGGTAACTTGTAGCTTATAGCAAATTGAGATTAATACACGCAATCGTTTCACAAAGAAAATATTCATCTTATAAAAAAAAATAGAAGTTCTTTTATAAACTTCTTATAAATATGTACTATATATTGTATAATTTGAGATTGTGTGCACAAATCCTTCACAACAGTTTTTTTTTTTAAATAAACCATGGTAGCTGTCAAATCGTAAAGTGATAGGCAAAATTCTTATACTAATAAATGTAACATTTTTTATTAATGTATGTACAAGACTTGTAAAATCATTTTTATCTTGTCTTATGAAACCATTGTTATTTGCATATTGAAAACAGGGTGTAAAAAGAATGCTCCCAAAACACTGAGAAAAAGAAATTGTTCTTACAAATTTAATCGTTTTTGATTTCGTGTTATTCAAGCAACATCAGCCTTGAGCAGTTGATTACATTTATAATTACATAAAAGTAACATTTAATTCCATACTTTTACGAAAATAAAACTTGTTTGCTACCAACACTTGTCGGCATTTACGCCCTGTATAGCTAGATAAACTGCACCATGTAAATCAAGTAACTAATACATCGCTATTTTTTTATATGAAACCTCTTATATAATGAGAATGAGTAGAGTAGCGAACAAATATGCAATACCATAAGAACAATTCTAATTAATAATCACTGCATGAGATTACACAGATGAGTTTTCAATTGTCATTGCTACATGACTTTGTGAACAAATTGTAAGAATAAAGAAATTATGAGGTGATAAACCCTTAGCCATGTGAGAAATGACAATGTATTGTGCACAATAATATTTCATTACCGTTGAATAGAAATATAAGTCTTATTAGTTTGCACTTTGGTATCGACTTTCCAATTTGATTCTTTTAGACTAATTGTTAAGTAAAATAAACATTATTTCTGAAAACATGAACTAATAGTAAAGAAAAATATTACATAGCAAAACTCAATAACAAAACATTTGTATTAGATCAAAGTATCAAAGTACATTTAAACAAGCTGTGTATTACTTTGTGCCATGGGACAAAAATCACTTTGAAAATACTATACCTATTGCTATTGCTAATAGCAATTAATGGTGCAAAATACACTGCTCAAACATAATTTTAGACCGATAAAATTCAACAAGTGTGTACTAAGTAGGTACCTAACTATAAAATATAACTATTATGTACAATGAAGTTCAATAGTTCTGCAGTCAGTAAAGCACGTTGTAACAACTACATTCCAGCAAGCATGTGTTCCTTTGTATAAACAAATAACAAAACATCTTACCCATTGCGGCGAGGACTCTACGCCGTTGTCCGGGAGCTTGGAGTTAAATTCATGTGTTATTTTCTTGCCTTGTCTGCTCTGTACCACGATTTGCGCTACTTTCAGGGTCAAAACCTTAGTAAACTTGTAGTAAAGTTTACTCCTTTCTTGCAACTCCGCATTAGAAGATGCCATTTTCTTATCATTTATTTGAGCTAAAGAAACAATTTCATGTTATTTCAATAATTTACGCAGCGTCAAAAAAAATACTCGGTCGTAAAATAACATCATAACCAAATATTTCAATCTATTCGAAGCACGAATCTAACAAACTTTATTAATTTCTATTTACTAATTGTACTTTTTAATAATATAATTACAATTTTGATAAATAATTATTGTATTCAAGAGAAGAAACTAAGAAACGCAAGGTAGATACGAAAACGCCACCAGACTAAAAAATCTTAACGCAGTAACTTTACAAATTCCTAAAATTCCATTTGTCAAAAGAGTTAATTCAAGCTATCCGATTGGTTATAAATGGTAGTGTACGATCATAAGCGGATTGCTATTGGACTATAATGACATTCTACTTCGATACGTTTCTATTTAAGCAGTTATCTTTGGTACTTACAAATATAAAATAAAATACATTGCTTTTATTATTACGCGTATAAGTGCCTCATATATTATTATTATTTATAGAAAAATATTTTTACGATTGAAAGAAGTAATAGTTAAATGTTTTAAAAGAGGAATTTTATATTTGGCAACTTTCAACCAATCACTTCGATTCTACTGTTGGCGCGGAAACTATTGCCGGGTGCGATTCATATTAATATTTCGGTTTTATTCCCGCAATAGAATACAATTTTTGGGCTTTATTTTATACATGAACACATTTGACACACTACAAACGATAAAGTTTGTATATCCGTTGTAGAAATTCAATGTAACTTCAAAAGATAAATATTTAGGTGAACTTTCCTAATAATAGGTAAATAAGTAAGTATGTAACAAATTATTAATCCTACCCACCTAAGTAGAAAACCAACAGAGTACTTACCTACAATAAAAGATTAAATTTTAAAATAAAACACAAAAAATCATACTTACACATTTCAAAATTTTCACGAGTTCACTTCAGTAGGTGAGTACTTCAAGAAAACTTCGGAAGACGGAAAGCGCTGCCGCCTCGACGCGTGTGTCTAGAGCTTATGCCGGCACAGCTCTATTCAAGCTCCAACTCAGGTCTGTATTCCTAGTACTGGAGACTGCAAGTAATCGAACATATTGCGACTTGCGCAATAGAGCCCTCTTAACTACGCAGACTACTTAGTTATTTTTTTAATACTTCCAGAAATAAAGTAGCTGGACCTAGGTAGTCTAAATGAAACCTATAGTCCTTATTAAATTAGATAGGTACTATCCTTAAAGGACATTTCGTGAGCGAGACGCAAACGTTCAATTAAGATTCTATTCAGGGGGTAGGTAGATCGTGTAGGAGCGTGAAACATGCCGATTTCGATTTTTGATTAATTTAAGTCATTACCGAATCTACATACCTATTAGGTACCTACTAAGTAGCCGTAGGCTTTAAATAGGTATATAAATAGTAAAGAATATAGGTACCTACATTATATAGTATTTGCTACTAAACTAAACTACTTAGATAGTACCTACCTAAGATGCTTTGTATTAAAGGATTGTATGCATAGACCTATTATCTGGGGTATCAGGAATGCGATTGAATAATCATGAATGGGTTACACATGTAGGTACTATGAGATACGTGAATTTATCGGACGAAACACAACCATGATAACGGCAGCGTGTAGCGGAAATCAAAGCTACCCACAGTACCCACAGTACCTACTAGTTCAGTTCAATCAAGAGCACTCGAGGCTTGCAATCAAATTGAATACAAAAACTTGGACGTTTCATTTTTAGTCGTAGGTACTACCGGCGAGAGCGGGGTTGTATTAAAATCGACGTGATAGATTAAAAATGTTTCTTTTATTATAAAAAGTTTCATCGATTTCTATAAATGGTTCACGACAATCTTTTGAATTAGTTGATAGTTCTGATGCACTGATTTAGGTCAATTAATACCTAATTAGGTATTTATTTACATAGATGTTTACATCCGCTACACATAGCTCTATGTGTAGCCAGGATATAGTTTTATTGGATTGTAGCGATGATATTTTTGGTACATTTTTTATTTACTTCTAGTCACACAACAACATTTAGGTACATTGCTTTACAGTTGCTTATATCATTCTACGTAGGTGGAACTAGAAACTATAGTAGCTACAGACAGCGTAGTGACATGCCCACTGGAATTTGTGGTTAATGGATTAGGTTTAAGGTGAGAGTAACTACCTACCTAATTTTAATTCACAAAGTGTTTTACTAGTTGTATAGTTGAACATAGGTTTAACGTGTTTCGATATTGGATATCGATGCATAAACAGTAGGTGAACTTTTTATCCACTCTTCTTGAGTTTTATAATTATGTTTTGTTAATCCAAAGTTGTACCTACCTACAAAGTACCTAATATTACCTTTTCTGTACGCCGTATACCGTACAATGTACGGTTCGAGTAGTAAGCCATCTAAGCGCGACAACCGGAACGGTTTACTTTGACTGCACAGTTGGCTCTCTGAGGGCTTAGTACGATTTTGGTTTACGTTTATCGAGATCGAAACGTTACCGCGAATCCCTTTGATTGGTTGGTTCATTGGAACCGACCAATCACAGCGCCGAACGACATAAACGTGTTTAACGTAAAATAATTTCGTGCTAAGCCCTCTGATTGGCAGACTGCATACGACCGACCGACTGCTACGCAACGACGCGAGTTCCTTTTTCGAACGAAATAATTCTTATTGCAAGTAGTTTTACAAGTAAGTGCCTTTTCACATGTTCCGGTTGCCGGTTATCCGGTCCCGGTTATACCTACAAATTACGCTGGTACGTGTGTGAAAGTTACAGTAGGTATATGGCAATACTATACTATACACTGTATACTGTATACTGCGCTGCCGGGTTCCTGGCACGAGCACCGGCACCGGCTACAGGACAACCGGAACGTGTGAAAAGGCACTTACATTAACAGTAATAAATTCTAATTATTATAAGTTTGAAATTGCCGGAAAACCCGCCTTGAGCAAGCATGATGGTTAATGCTCATTCCTTCTCCATGTGATAGTAGGCTTTTTCAGCAGTAAGATTTTTACAGACTGAAAATGTTTCGATGTTGTAAGTACCTAGACCTTCTCAAAGTCCTAAAGTTTTTCAAATAGAACAGTTTCGTACATACTAAATACTCAGTACCTACGTCCTAACTGCCACTTCGCTTAGGTGCCTACTACGTCGTCGATGAAATTAAAAACAGTGAGTTATTCCTAAAATATTTTATGTGTTGGAAATATACTTATGAATACTTGTCTTAAATAGTAGTAAGTAAAACCATTAATGCCTACTTACATCACTCATTGTTTAATAACAGACTGCACGTGGGTATAGGTTCTATAACATTCATCCGTCACCCAAAGAGATGCACATAATTATGAACCTCCATAATAGATCTTTAGAAAAGTAGGCGGTGGCATATCGACCGACCCGTAAATATTCACTTTTACAAACCAATCAAATCCTGCCAACCCTATTTTTGCAGCGACTCTGAAGCGGAAAATGCCGTTTAAAGGGTTAGGTCTTGAGAGCATCTTTAACATCATTCCTATTATTAATTTACCGCTTTTACCGAGGCGCATTTGACCCAGATTGGTGCCTTGGAACAGGAATTCATGTTTATTTTCAAATTGAAAATAGTTTTGAACAGGGATGCCATTTCCAGCGACAAGTGGTAGTTATTCGATTATTTTTTGGAAGTTTTATGTTAGACAATAGCTAATGAAATTACTAATGACGCTAAATGTACCTAGCTTAAGTAAGTGCTCGACATGTCCAATTGTGAATGCGATGTAGTTTCAGTCTAAAATAAACCGTCTCCACTTCTGAATGTTAATATATTATAATCACAATTGCAATTGCATTGCAAAAGCTTGTTTCATTTTGACTACTATTTTGGAATACCTTTAAAGAACGTGGAAACCATGTAGGATCCATTCAGACGATAATTTGAAAACACCACGGTAGTTTGACAAAGTTTCAATAAAAATACTTATATTGAAGTTGAGGTAATGTTATAAGTAACTGCTTAACTAAATTATTCTACTTAAGTTTTTTCTAGCTATTAGTAGCTAGCATAATGTATAACATAATATAACATAATATAACATATCATCACGCCTTTTATCCCCGAAGGGGTAGGCAGAGGTGCACATTACGGCACTTAAACCCACTGTACAATGTAACGCCCACTTTTTACTATTTATGTTATGAGCCCCATGTAATAGGCGGTGGGCCTATTGCCATATACCGGGCACATTTCCAGACTCCGTGTTACTACTGAAATTTTTTTTAAAGACCCTTTGTCCGGCTGTCGCACTTGCGACCACTCGGCCAACGAAGCAGTCATCCTAGCAGGCTAGCTAAACTTATAAGAGAAATAAGTTGCTGCAATCAATACCAACTTATTACGATTTTCAACAGTAAAAGAAAAGTACGTATTGAATTTATCTTAGATATGGAAACTTAAGCTATGAAGGCTTCTGTAAAAGTGAAACCCCTGAATGTAACCGGAGGAGTGCAACAAACAAGGGCTATTGTGCATTAAAGGTTGTTAGTCTATTGAATGCAACAAAGGTATTGAGCACTAAAGGCTCTTCCATTGTGCCTTTATTTAGATACACATTTCATCCCCGGTGGAAAATCCTCGTGGCTCCTTTCATGGGAAGAGAGTGGGTGTCCCCTCCACCCTGTGAGAATACGCCATATTGTCTCAAAACCACCCTAACGTCCTTTGTCACTACAATCTATAAAATCGATTGAATATGATGTTTACTTATGTATCCGGAGGCCATCCGTCTATTCTATAGGTACTCGTCATAGTTGCAAGTTATGACTGCGAACTAAGTGGTGGTAGGTACTGTAGAGTGTTTCAATCTGTATATTTCTATGGTTATTACATATATATTTGCAGTTGAAAATAAATACAAATATTTCGAAAACATTCATGTTAATATAACTATAATAGGATTATGTCTCAAGACTCTACGGATATTTAAAACCGCAAATGTGTCGGGAAGTACCTATTTAAGCTAACTCTTCGCTGGTTATTTTATCCCAACTTATCCAATGTAAGGATGTGAGAATGTAGCTGTAGATCCAGTGAGTAGACGTACACCTATTTCTTATTCCAAACTGTGCTACTACGGTATCTAATCGTAAAAATCCATTATGTGTATTATTTATGCTACGTTGTTCTACCTGGCAAACGAAACAAAAGCGCTATGCTCAGCAGTTATGCTTACAACTTCCAATCACTGGAACGAG